CCTGCCTCGGCCTCCCAGAGTGCTGGGATTACAGGTGTGAGCCACTGCGTCTGGCCAACTTAAGCCCTATTTTCACTTCAGATAGATCAACCTCCAAAATCAATAATGCAAACCTCCTATTTCCTGTTTGCAGCCCCTATTTTTCTAGCTTGCTTGCTCATCTACTTATGCCTCAAACATTCTTTAGCCTAACTACAGTTTCTAGTACCTCCAATTGTATTTGCTCGTGCACATCCTAGCTTACCTTCAGATCTTCTCATCATCTTCATTACCATCACCCATGTCCAAATTACCATTGTTTTTACCTGGATTATTGTAATAAACTCCAAATGGTTTCTCTACTTCTGCCTATCCCTCTCAAGGGCCTCGTAGAGTAATCTTTTTAATAGAGAAGTTATAATATAGCACTCTTCTGCTTAATACTGACTAAAAGCTTCACTTAGAGTAAAAGTCAACATCCTTAAAATGATCTATGAGTAGACACTACCTGCTGATCCCTTATTTCCTTTGTGGCCTCATTTCCTTTCAATTCCATCTTGCTCATGGTAATCCAACTGTACTGGCCTCTCAGCTGCTCATCAGACACACCACGTATATTCACCTCTCAAGGCCTTTGTACTGCTCTTCTCCCTGCCTGGAAAACTCTTCTCTCAAGTGTCTTCATGGCTTGGTCCACTGTTTCCTCCACCTCTCTATTCAAATGTCTTCTTGCCAATGCAGCATTTTAACCATCCTATTTAAATAAGCCAATGCCACTCCTCTACTTCTGCCCTTCCCTGCTTTATTTTACTTCACAGAATATATCACCATCTGACATACTACATATTTTCTTTTCTTTTTTTGTTGGCTGTTGTTTATTGTACTTCCATTCAAATACAAGAATCATAAGAGCAGAGGTTTTCATCTATTGTTCACTGCTATATTCCCTGTGCCTAGAACAATGCTTTGTTCCAAGTAGGCAACAAATAATTATTGGTATTTGGATTTAATGAATTCAACTTACAGTTCATAGTCCATTATTTTACCCATACTTTTCTCACTGAATTTTGTGTATGTAAATATCTGGATGATTAAGTTAGTTCGTGAATGGGGCTTCATTAACGTCTGGATTTACAATACCTTCTGAAGAGAAAATCTAGAATTATGCTGCAGCTGGAGAAATTAAACTGTGGCTATTAGATGCCTACTGGAAAGATGTGCTCCTCCTAACCCGGTTATTCAGAAATAAAGCCTTGACCTTTCATTTTGTCAAAATAAAAGTGTTTCTATATAAATTCCTTTATTGAAACCTATAAAAACAAAAATAATGAAAGAGGGAAAAGAAAGCTCCATCTTAAGTGAAGCAAGAAATGACCACAACTGTGGACCACTGACTGTGAAGACTATTTGCCAAATTCAACAAAGTGTACGCTAAAATGCCAAGGGCCAACATACACATTCTCATATTTCTCCAGATGTCACAGTGCTAAGAGGTCTATCCAAAATTTCCTTCACTGGGTAACTAGATCTGGTCAACATGGCCAAACCATTGCAGAATTTGGAAAAACTCTGTAGGGATCTAGGTTCACTCCTAAAGAATGGCAGGGGAAGCAAAGTACAAGGGGAAGTCATACTGATAAAACTTTTCCCCTGGCCAGGCACGATGGCTCACGCTTGTAATCCCAGCACTTTGGGAGGCCAAGGTAGGCAGATCATGAGGTCAGGAGTTCAAGACCAGCCTGGCCAACATGGTGAAACTCCATCTCTACTAAAAATATAAAAGTTATCTGGGCATGGTAGCACACACTTGTAATCCCAACTACTCAGGAGGCTGAGGCAGAACAGCTTGAACTGGGACCCAGGAAGCGGAGGTTGCAGTGAGCTGAGATCATAGCACTGCACTCCAACCTGGGCTCCAGAGCGAGACTCTGTCTCAAAAAAACAAAAACAAAACCAAAAAACTTTTCCTCTTATTTACCTTGGCCTTCAGACAGAGGAAGTCTGCCTTGAAGTGAGGCTGATGAATGTGCTGTAGAAGCCATGATCAATTTTGTAGCTACTGACCAGTCAGCTCAACAGAAACAGACATTAGGCTTTGATAGCCCATGACAGAAAAAGACTCCATATTTCAATACTCTGGTCAAAGTTCTTCATCTAGGTACAAATACAACCAAACATATTTCTCTGGGACCAAATCTCCATTTAGCATGCAAGAATATCAGAAGAAACTTCAACACTTTATGACTCTGTTCTTCAAACTGGGATATACAGAGGTATGCCAGTGTGTATGTTTAGTCCTTTCCCCCCATAAAAGTCCTATATCTAAGTAGTTTTCATGAGACTCACATTATTCTCAACTCAGATATTAGATGTCCCTGTCACTCATGAGTATTTATCATTTACTTTGCCCCCATTTCCTATCTTTATATTTATCCTTCCAGAAACTGAACTCGTGAAAAAATGAACAGAAAGATAACTTTTGTCTTCTCATTTTTCTTATTTTTCAGTATATTAATGATTTTATTCTGAAACTCTCAATTTCTTTTAAATCCATCTACCTTTTAGTTTCTATCTAATGTTTCTATGATCTTTACAATTTTCAAAAAATTTGTTTTCTAAGCATTGTCAATGTTTACATATTTAACTGTGGCTGACATATTCTCCTTTTATTATTATGAACTCTAAAATGGCATTGGGGCACATCCTTTTAAAATGATTTCCATAACTTCTGTTTCATCCTTACCGGATGATAAATCCAGAGCACACACCTCTTGTCATATTCTTTACTTTCGCAAAGAAGAGACTACCAGCAAGATCAGTTTAAAAAAAAAAAAAAGTATCAAAATTCTGCTTTGGCAGAATGACACTTCCAGAGACTATAAACGTAGTTTCTAATCATGACATTTATCTGTCTCTAGGCCAGATCTGAAACTTACATTAAAAGAGCAGCACTTATATTCTTCTTTATCTACCTAAGATGTCTGTATTTGGCTCCCACAGAATTATCATTGTATGTGTGTGTCTTACCTTATACTCTCATACTATGTTCTCTACCAGCCTTAAACCTAGTCACTCAAGCATTTCCAAGCAAGGCACTCTTCCATAGATCTCATTAGAAGTTATTTTACTTGAACAACAAATAACACATGTGTTAGTCTGTTAGTGTTGCTATAAAGAAATACTTGATGCTGGGTAATTTATTTAAAAAAAGAGGTTTAATTGACTCACGGTTCAGCAGGTTCCTCAGGCCGTACAGAACATGTGCCTCTGGAGAGGCCTCAGGAAGCTCACAATCGTGCCAGAAGATGAAGGGGAGCAGCCACATCACATGGCGAGAGTGAGAGCAAGAGTGGAGGGGAGGGGGAAGTGTCACACACTTTTAAACAACCAGATCTCCTGTGAATTCACAGCAAGAACTCACTCATCACACCAGGGGGATGGCACTAAGCTATTCATGAAGGATCCGCCCTCATGATCCAAACACCTCCCACCAGGCCCCAGCTCCAACACCAGGGACTACATTTCAACATGAGATTTGGAAGGGACAAACATCCAAACCATCTCAACTTCCCACTGGCATATTCCAGCAATTAGCTTTATCACAGCAAGTTTGCCATACCTAAGATTATATTTATCTACTTCCATTATACGTTGGGTTCATCTTATTATTTTATCTGCCCTAGTAAAAAGGCATGAGTGTTAAAGTGTTTATAAGAGATTTTTAAAATTTTCTTTTTTCATTATCACTATGGGTTCTTTAATAGTTGTACATACGATGGGGTATATGTCATTCAGAGATGTTGCTGAAACAAAGTTAATCACCTTTTAACATTTAAAAAAGATATTCTTTTCAAAGTACTATAGGCACCAGAGAAACAAACTTGTGGGGAATTTTTTTCTATTTAAGAAATCATTTATTTTAACTTTTCTGAAGCAAAACTGAAGTGATGTTTTTTCTTATTTTCTCTTGTGAATCACTGACACATTTTTTTCAGCTACTGTGTTACTTCTAACTCAGATTTACAACTGATAGTCTCCGACTATCTCATTTTATCATTTTAACTGAGCAAACTAGAAAATCTAGTTTTAGATCCTTTCGTAGGATGCTGCTTGATACTCATACCATTTTAGCCTTTCTTCAAAGTCATGACCTCAACTGGGAGAAGAGATGCAAACACTCCTTTAAGTGCGCAAACCAAGTGCCTCTGATTTTATCATTCATTTCTATATGAATCAGCAAGAATGTATTATGGTCTATAAACCCAATAAGTTGCAAGAAACCTCTTGAGGAAATCTCATACCTGTTCTATCATGATTTGCCTCAATATAAATGAAAAAGAAATAAAATGCCTTCCTTCTTTTCCCATATCTGAAGGATTTGTTTGGATGTTTAGCCTCTGATTCTCAATTCTAGGTCTTTGGAGACCTACAGGCATTTACCTAATATATACATGGCATATTATAAAATTATCAGTGTATAAAAAGATTTAGATAGTATTGTCAAGGACTCCTTTATAGGTTTTTAAAATATTCTCCTTTACTGATGATTGTTACCAAAAACTAATACATGGGACTTAAAATCTGAGGTTGAGCTTGAAACTGTGCCAGACACAAAAGAGACAAAAGATATAGTAATATGGTCTTCAGGAATTTGCAATCCAGGTAGTAATCTAGCACTCCTGAACACAGCCATATGCTCTTACTCCCGCTGTAACATCAGGTGTCCGCAGTAAGAGGGGTGCAGCCAGCTGACCAGAACACTGGGTTCATGCAAGTGTTTTTGAGATCACTTTATATCAACAAGAAAACATAAAACTGCTATTATTCTTGAACTCAGAAGGCTATATTTCAATTAAATAAACATTTGAAATAATAGATTTCATAAGAAGAACTCACTATACATAGGAAGAATAACCCGAGAGCTATATCCATATGGAATTTTTATGAGAAAGAATTAACTTAAATAAAATCTTCTGTCCAAAATTATAGCAATACTGAAAATTAAAAACCAAGTTGCTTACTTTTACTATGATAAGCCTAGCCAGGTTTTCACATCTCAGGTGATCATTTTCTGTATACTCCACTTCAAACAGGGTATTATAATTTTCTAGAATTTTAGCCATTATCTTGTTGCACAGGTCCTGTTCCTTCATGCCTTCAAGCCCAGGAGGCACACTAGAAACAGGAAAAAGAAAGAGAGGAATTAGTAAAAACAACAATGCCTGCTAGCTGACGCAGACTTATATTTTGAAATCTCCTGCATAACTAGCCTTCTTATAGGGATGCATGGGATTTTCAAGCTCTACCGTAACAGGCATGACGTTGTTGGGGTAATTGGTGAGTTCCCAAGTTCTGAATCAATAGCTTGGGCTGAATAAGAAAAAATATAGGCTGTTCAGGAAGAAGATAGAGATGAACACTGAGGCCAGCTGTCCTTTGAATATATTAAAAATTATTACATGTATTTATATAAAAGTTAAAAAGTGAGGGTTTTCATAACAGAACTAGCCACACAAATAATAGCAACACAATCTTTATTTAAAGAGTTCTTAGATAACGCACAAAAAGCACAAACCTTAAAGGTAGAAATGAATACTACTGGGGAAAAATAATAACTGTTGAGCTAAGTGACAAGCGCATGGAAGGTCTATTATACTATTCTCTCTTCTTTCGAATATTTTTAAAATTTTTCACAATAAGAATAGTTGAAAATAAATCTGAATGCAAAACACCCCATAAACAAGGTAAAAAGATAATTTACAGATTGTAAAAAGATAAACTTCTTCAGTAACATGTATAACCGACAAAGGTGAGTAGTTACAGTATGTAAAGAACTCTTACTAATCAATAGGTAAGATAAGTCCGAAAGAAAAAGAGATGAAAGACATGAGATGGAAATATTGCAGAACAGTTAATAACCTTATGAAAAGATACTCAGCTTCACTGAATAACCAGAGAAATGCATTTAAAAAGCACCACTTAGGTCTCATTTACTAACTCTCTGTATTAATTTTGTGAGGCTGTTGTACCAAATTACCACAAACTAGGTGGCTTAAAACAACAGAAAGGATTATCTTCCAGCTCTGGAGGCCAAAAGAGCAAAATCGCTATCACTGGGACAAAATCAAGGTGTCAGCTGGGCTACACTCTCTATGAAAGGTCTAGAGAAGCTGTTCCTTGCCTTCCCTAGCTTCTGGTACCTGCCCGCATGGCTTGACTACAGGCGCATCACACCAATCTTTAATCAGGGCCAACACCTGCAAATCTCTCTCTGCTCCATCATCATATGGCCTTCTCTACGTGTGTTTAATATGCCACTGCCCCCTTCTTATAAGGATACTTGTGACTGCGTTTCACGTCCACTCCCTCATCCCTTGAAAATCCAGGATAATCCTTATATCTCGAGATCCCTATCTTAATCACATCTGCAAAGAGTCTGTTTTCCAAAAAACCTAAATTTACACATTCCAGGGATTATGACCTGATATCTTTGGGAGATACTATTTAATCTACTAGACTATCTTGGAATACACACCAGAAGGTCCCCTCCACTTGGGCGTATATAGAACCTATGACTTGTTTCTGATCAATACAATATGGCAAAGGTGATAGGATGTCACTCCCGTGATTATGCTACAATGGATGAAACTCAGTCTTAGAAGATTGAAGGGAGAGATTCTCTCATTGGCCTTAAAGAAATAGGCAGCCAAGTTGTGAGATGGCTGTAAGAGGGTCACGTGGCAGGGAACTATGGGGACATCAGTGGGGCTACAGCCATAAGAACACAGTAAGGGGCTAGGGTCCTTAGTCATGCAGCTGCAAAGAAATGAACTCTGCCAACAACTTGAACGAGTTTGGAAGCAAATTATTCCGCAATCTCAAATGAAAATGTATCCCAGTTAATACCATGAATTTGGCATTGTAAGACCTTCAAATGAAAATGCATCCCAGTTAATACCATGAATTTGGCATTGTAAGACCAAGAGCAGAGGATTCAGTTAAATTGTGCCCAGGTTCCTGATCCTTAGCAAATGTTTGTTGTTTTAAGCCACTAAATGTGTGGTAATTTGTTACACTACCATACAGAGTTTAGTACCTGGAAAAGGGATGCTGCCATAACAAATACCTAAAATGTGGAAGTGACTTGGGAACTGGGTAGTGGAAGGAGACTGGGCAGCATCATACAGGAGGCCTCAAATGCCTTGAACCAGTTCTTCATTGACTCCTGGACCTTAAGGACACCACTGATGAGGGCTCACAAAGAAATGAGGAATATGTTACTGGAAACTGGAGCAAGGGAGACCCTTGTGATGGTGGCAGAAAACTTAGGGAAATTGTATCCTATAGTTATGTGAAAAGATAAACTTGTCAGCAATGGTCTTAGATACACAGTTAATGTTATTTCCAAGCAATGGTTTGAAAGTGCCACCTAGTTTCTTCTTACCACTTACAATAAAATGCAAGAGAAGAAAGAGGAAGAAATTGAGAGAACTTATACAGACATGAAACAGGACATGGTTTTAAAAATTTTCAGACTCTCCAATAGAAAAGACACTAAAATTAAGAAATTCACTGTTAAGAAAGCAGGCTCTATAAAAAAGGTTGAGAGTGTGACTACACGGACTTTTGCTAAAACCTCAGAAAGATCAAATCCTCGTATTATGCAGTCAGGCAAAGGTCCCTTTCAAGGGACGAAGGGTGTGCCTAACAGATCCTGTCAACCAAATCAGAGAGCCTCTAGGAATTCAAAAGCATTGTCCCTCAGCCATTGTAGCATGAGCTAAAGATGGAAAAGGTGTGGATATGTCTTATAATGAAGTGAATCTCTGTAACATCCACAGAATACTCACAAAATTTTTGAAATATTTATTTCAGCAAAAACACTGCCAACGTGGACTAAAAGGGACAGAGAGGATTCAAAATGAAAGGACAATGTTGGAGCCCCCAAATTCTAGTGGCAAGAAGCAGTTGATAAAACCACTCAGCTGCAAACATGAGTAGTTTCATTAAAAATGAAGCATGACTCAGAGAGCAGAACCAAGAATCTAGAGGGCCATGACATAAAAATCACGGGAGGTCACTGTTGTGGACTAAGTCCAACAAACCAGATTAAAAATCAAAATGGAGTCACCCATGCTAAAGTTCCACATCACCAAATCAAAACTAAGTTGTTATCTGACTTTCTAAAATCAGGAAAGAGAGAAAACATCCAATGTCCCAAACAGGCGATTCAATTGTGTGATAGTGAAGTTTCCTGTTTTAATCCTTAACCTGAAATAACCTAATGTTAACCAAACAGCTATTTTTCTATTGTTTTGTCTCCCAGTTCCTACAAGGAAAATAACTTTAAAATGACTGATCTACCTTTTGTTCTTTGCTTCTGCTTTCCTCAGGTCTTTTTTCTGCCCCCCAAAAATAACCTCCGTGCTTGACTCACTGGAACACTTACTCTATTTGATAGAATGAAGTACTGCATGATTCTACAATCTCAAACAAAGCCAATTCAGATCTTTAAACTAAATTTGTTGTAATTTTGTCTTCTGACGGATAAGATGACCAGTGAAAGGACCTGAATGAAGGTTACTGATGTCTCTGAGACTCTTTGAGGAACACAGAAAAGATGCTGCTAACCTCCCCTTTAAGTGGTAGGGGGGTGGGTCGCCTGTCTTCCCTCTGGAGCCCTGAGAATCATGTGTAAATTTCTCTCAGGTCTGGGCTCTGCTCTCTTTTGCATTTGAGTACTCTGGTCTCTTTGGCTTTGAGGGTACCACTGGGTAGTTTGTGCTATGGCAGGGCACACGACCTGTGGTCTGTAGTGACTGAAGAGTCACTGCAAAAAAAAAAAAAAAAAGCTGCAGTTTTTAAGGTAACTGCTGTCTGCTGCACTAAGTGGTCATTACTACAGGGGGCTCTTTATTTCTTCTTTTCTGTGTGCTGAGATTTCAGTACCAAAGCCATCTTGGCTCTGAGACCCAAGATCCAACATAAAAATGAGATCCCTAATTTCTAAAGATGTCAGTACTCTGCCTACTGGTACATCTGATTTTTTCATGTATACGAATTATGGCCCCAGAAGCTGCAAAGAATTACAAAAGTGGCAAAATCTTACTAAATTCAGAATTACAATGGTCATTATATGGAATATCCTAGATGAACAAGATTGTTCTTCTAAGAGATGCACTTGAATCCCAAATCTCTTGAATCAGGCAGAGAGAATGGGATTGTTATCCTAATTGACATTTAGAAATGTCAGAGGCTGAGCACAGTGGCTCACACCTGTAATCCGAGCACTTTGGGAGGCTGAGGTGGGGGGATCATCTGAGGTCAGGAGTTGGAGACCAGCCTGGCCAACATGGTGAAACCCCATCTCTACAAAAATACAAACATTAGCCAGGCATGGTGGTGCATATCTGTAATTCCAGCTACCTTGGAGGCTGAGGCAGAAGAATTACTTGAACACAGGAGGTGGAGGCTGCAGTGAGCCGAGATCATGCCACTGCACTCCAGCCTGGGTGACAGAGCGAGACTCCATCTCAAAAAAATTAATAAATAAATAAATAGAAATGTCAAAGAAACAATGGGATTCTAAAATTGCTTTTTAAGAAACTTATTGTGAAGACTATTAAAAAGCTAACAATGCAAGATATCATCCATACCAAACATGGTAAAGCCCACGTGCCTATTGCTACCTTCTGTTCTACCTTGCCTGAATACTCACAGGCTACTAACTCTCTGATTGCCTATCTTCTTTAAAAAATGGTGAGAACTTCTAGGCAACTGGCCTAGAAAACAAAGTATCTAAGGTTTATCAAAACAAGCCCTGTGCTTCATATTTTCCTTTTTAGGTTATTGATTACTTAGGAAAACTGAATCTCCTCTACTTAACTACTAAAAGAGTTAAGGTTTTCCGATTATTCACAGTGATCTGTGATCCTATTATTGATAAATATTTTAAACTTTTATTTTTGACAAACTTCCCAAAATTGAATTAAAAATTAAGTCATTTTGATCAAAAACTAACTTTTGAACATTCCAGAAGGGCCCCTTCAAGTCCAAAAGAGAATTAAATCAATTAGGCTTATTTGAAATGTTAAATTATATGTGGAAACATTGTCAAATAAGAAATCATGTTTAATCTTTGAGTTCTATTTGGATGTTATTAATATTTGCTCCAA